AGAATGTGAACAACATAACAAATCAATGGCCGTAGCGGAAACAAACATTAAAAAATAGGGGTGGTAAAAAAGAAAAGTAGTAGCAGCAAAAATTGCTGAGATTAAAAAATATAAGAAATAAAAAATTGCGGACAGATTGCTACAAATTATAATTAGAAAATGTTTTTGGAAGGAAATTGCTTAAACTTGATTAGTTAAATCTTGAAACAACAAGTTTGCTTCAAGTTTTTATGTGTTTTTAAAAACAAAATGTATTTTTTGTGTTTTCTTTTGTTAATTTCAAGTTTTGTTTAGTGAAAATACAACTTGTTTAGAAACACAAGTTGTTTCAAGTTTTAAGCTATTCAAACAGATAAAATACAAAACTTGAAACAATTTCAAAAACAAGTTCAAAAACAAGTTTATTTTACTTAAAAAGTTTTTAAAAAATTCCCAACTTTTCTGCAAACATTTGTCCGCAATTTTTTAACACTTATTTATTGTGGGTGGTTTTGGATGGTTGTTTGGAGGAAAGAATAAGAAGAAAAAATGCACACATTTGCGTGTGTAATCATTTTATATATTTTTTGAGGGAGAAACGAGAAGAAAAAAAGAACGCACCAGCCGGCCTTTCCATCGGTTTTTTCCTTCTTCTATCACTCAAAACTAAAAATATATTTATTGTTATATAACATTTTGCACGCATTCTTTCCTTCGTTTCCTTTTTATTCAGACAAAAAAAAACGGGGGGAAAATGATGGAATTTACCACAAAAAAGGTTGCTAGAGGGTAATAAGGAAGCATTTATATAAAAAAATATAATAATAAAACATAATAGTGACCAGAAACACAAAAAAATGTTTAAAAAATCGAGAATATAAGGAAAAATTTTAAAAATTATATAGGAAAAAAATTCAACAATTTTTGGAAGCAAAATAATTTTTTAAAGAAGCAAATCACCAAAACATCCCCCAAAAATTTTTAAAATGAAAGCGCCAATGAATCAATTGCCAAAAATGATGATGATTCAAAAATTACGAAACACTCTACCCCAACTTTCATTTTTGCTGCCAAATATTGTGAAATCAAAGGCGGTGTGTATAGACAAAAATAAAAAAATAACGAGAAAAAAGACGGGAAAAGAAAAAGATTAAAAAAAAAGACTTTAGAGTCAGCCATTAAAAAATATAAATGTTTTGCTAAAAATAAAAAATAAAAGAAAAAAAGGTTTTTAAAAAAGGAAAATGCAAGTGAAGATTTTGTTACAAAAATATAAGAAAATATTCCAAAAAAACATACATTTCCGGAAAAAATATAAAAAAAATTTTTTAACACGCGGTAAGCATAGAATTGCAGGTTGTAATTCGAGAGGATTAGAGGAAATTAAAAGAAATTTTTTAATAGTTTGAGAATTGAATAAGAAAAAAATGAGAGAACTCACCATCTCTCTCGACAAATCTAATAAAAAAGTTACGAAACAATGCGAGATTAAATAATATTGAAAAATAAAAAGGGGTGACAATAGTTAGAGAAAAGGTGTGAAGAATGGTGTGAAGAATTGAGAAGAAAGATTAAAAATTAAAAATACTAATAGAAGAAAAAAATACAAAGAAAATACAACATGTAAAAATACATTAAATTAAATAGAAAAAAGAAAAATGTTGGTGTATTTTCCGTTTATCAGAAATTAAAGTTTATTTTCCGGAAAACACATTTTAACAAATCCGGAAAAGTTTGTATTTTTCAATATACATCCGGAAAGTTTATTTAAATTGTATTTATTTCCGGAAAACACATTTATAACTAAAATTATATTCTTTTCCGGAAAGTTTATTTTACATTATACACATCCGGAAAAGTTTGTGTTTTACAAAGTTCCCTCAAAAATCAAATAATTATTTCCGGAAAACACACTTACAACTAAATAAATAAAATAATAGAATAAATAATAGAATAAATAAAAATGAAAAATTAATGGATTATAGAGTAATGGTTCCACCCAAGGTCGACAGAAAAAAAACAATGCAAAGGTCGATTACTACGCTAATATTACAGCAGTAACACGCTAATCGCATAAAATTACACGTGTGAATGAATTATTGTGTAAAATATTAACTAAAAAAATTTTTTTACGTATTTTTAGACTCTAATAATCCCTAAAATTAAAAGGTGTTACTTATACTTTTTGTATTGCTTAAACTTTTTTGTTGATAGCCGAGATTGCTGTTAATGCATATAGTCTTTTATTTTTTGTTACGTTTAAGCAACTAAAATAGCAAGTAAAAAGCTTCTAAAGACAGTCAGCCTTGAACAACTTTTAAGAAAATTTTTTGCTTCCAAAAAATGCTTCAAAAATTTTTTTCGCAAGCCAAGAAATTCTTTTTCCTTCCCAAAAAAATAAATAATTCATTCAAAACACGTTATATATTAAATTACAAATTTAAAAACTAATTCATTTTATTTTTTTATTTAATTTGGAATGCTAATTAATTGACTTAAAGGAATGCTAATTAACAACAAAAAAATGTGCAGATAAATATAAATATGCACTCTCGCCGAAAAAAAATAAAAAATTAGAAAAAAAGATGGAAGGAAAGGATAAAGTGCGCGACAATATTAGAATTAATTGAGCGAAAAAAAATTAAAAGAAAAAAAAAATTAAAAAAGAATAGACGGGTTATTATAAATAATAATATTAATATACATATCTTGATGCCCTTATTTAAAAAAATGTCAAGAAAAAAATATTTTTATTAATTTTTTATATCAATTTAATTTAAATAATTTCTTGTTTGTATCTGAAAAAAAGGATTAAAATTCCAAAAAATATTTTTAAAAAATTAAAAAGTGCAACTACATATTATAGTTTATTAGTCCAATAAAAATAATACAGGTCCAAATAAATTTACATAAGTGATTTCTATTCAAATAAAATATCCCTCTAAAATATGTCATAATTTAACATAAAATTAATAAAAATTTCAGAAGTCTGAATGGACTAATGAATTTTAATTTGACTTAAATTTTTTGATTGGATCCATAAATATTTCTTAGTAAGCCAATAAATCTTGATTAGGTACTCGTATATTCTTATTGCTAATAAACTGAAATAAAACCTAAATGAGCCCCTAAAGTTCCCCCATTAAAAATAAAGATATTTTTTAACAATGATATATTTTTTTTAATATATTTTTAACAATATATTTTTAACAATATTTTTTAACAATATAGTTAACATTTTAAAAAAATATATGAAATATAATATTATAGTTAATAAAAATTTTTAAATTGTGTTTAGAAAATTAAGCTACTAAATTTCACTTTTTTTTTAATAAAATTCGGAACACAAAAAATATATTTAAGAGTATTTAAGTGAATATAAAAAAGGTTAAAAAAAGAAATATAATAATCTACTATAGAAAAATTGAAAAAAATAGGAACGATTTGTCGGTCTTTTTTTATTTTTTTTTACTTTTTGGCTGTCATATACACACACACTCTACACTCCTCTACAAGTGTTTGGCCGGCTGTCAGATAAAAAAAAGAGAAAGTGTATAAAAGAAAAGGGAAAAAAGAGAAGAGATCTTCTCTTTCAGTCAGTCAGTGTGGGCAATAAAAAAATGAAAGGAGAAAAGAAAGGAAAAAGAGGAAAGAAAGAGATATATAAATTTATGAAAAGAGGGATGTGTTGGAAAATGAATAATGGCGCACTTTTTTTAGGTGAAAAGTAAAAAATGAAAAGGAAGGAAGAAGGAAAAAATCTTTTTCAGATGAATGCAAAAAAATTAGAGAAAACAATATAAACGATTGAGCATTTGATAAAAGAAAGAAAAATGATTTAAAAAAAGAAAAAGAAAAAAATAAATAAATGGCTGACTTATTGACAGACGATATATAGGTAAGCTAATAAGAATATTATTAAGTTGCTACAAAATTAATGGAAACTTTTGATTTTAAAAAAGCCTTTTTCTTTTAAGCAAACTTGCTAACCACTCTTAAACTTAGAATTGTTCAAAACAAAGTTTCAAGTTTGTAAAACTTGTTTTTATAATTATCCAACTTGTTTCAAGTTTATACAAAGTTTAAATTCTTCACAAACTTAAATTATTCGCAAACTTAATTTTTTATTTAAAACTTGTTTGAAAAACACACAAAAACTTGAATAAAATACAAAACTTTATAATTTAAATATAAACTTAAAACACGCTGAATAAAACTTGAAACTCTAATCAGAAAATAAAAATAGTTTCTAAAAACATTAAAAACTTGAATAAAATATATAAAACTAATAAAAAATACAAACTTAAGCATAAACTTAAAACATGCTGGAATAAAAAAAATTTACAAACTTGAAAGATTAAGCATAAACTTGAAACTTTTTCGCAAACTTAAAAACTTGTTAACAAACTTAAAACTTCCTTGTTTCAAAAATTTTTAAAAAATGTAACAAATTTCGCCTTATGAATAAATGAAAATTAGTATTATTATCACACCACATGTCTATATTACTTTTAAAACTTTCTCTCTCCCCCCCCCCCTTTCTACAACAACTAAATATACAATTAAGTACATTATAAAAATTTTATATAATTTTTTGGTTAGTTTTAAATTCATTTTTTTTATCAAAAAATTTTATTTAAAGAGAGATAAGAGAGGGAAAATATATAAAATAAAATTAAATATATTTATTTTAATTTTTTATTACCGAAAAAATTATTTTTTTTTAATTCTTACACATGATTAAAATTTAAATTTAAAAAAAATAAATATTAAATTAATTATTAGTGTATTAAAATAGAATTAAGAAAATAAAAATTAATTTTTTAACCGATAAAAAGATAAAAAATATATTTTTTAATTTGAGTGTTGCTATATTTAGGTGATTAATAAACACGAAAAAAATATACAAAAAATTAAAAAATAAATTTAAAAATAAAAAAAAAATTTTTTTAGAAAAATTAATTTAGAAGATGGGATTTAGAATACGCGCGAATGCAAAAAAAATAGGAAAACAAATTTAAAAAAATTTGTTTAATGTAAATAAAAAATAATTTTGCAGGAAAAGGAGGAGGGGACTTACAAACGGATTAGAAAATTTTAAAAAATCTCGAAAATAAAAAATTTGTAAAACAGACATTTTTTGTGGACACAAAATTTGGATACCAAAATTTTTAAGGAACTGGAATTTCAAAACAAAAAATTTGTGGATTTCGAAAAGGTATGATGAAAGAGGCTGAATCATAAAATGTGTGTCGAAACATAAATTGGATACATCCTTAAGTCCTTGAATAATTTTCAATTTGATTAATAGATTTCACGAACCCAAAAAAATTAAGATGTCCTGCAACAATGTCTGTCCAAATTAATAAAAAAACTAAACCAACCTCTTCTTCCTTCGCAACAAATTTCCACATATTATCATCAAGTCTTTTTTGTTGTTGTTGTTGATAATGAAAAATATTCCAAATTCCATCATTATTATTGCTCACCAGTTTTTTGACCATTTAATTTGTTGTTGTTGTTGTTGAGAAGCGCCTTTCCAACAATCATCTTCTTTTAGTTCTCCATAATTTAAATTTTCTAATCTAAAATTCAAATTAATTTTAAAAATTCTCTCTCCTCTCAAAAAATATTTTAAAAGAAAATATAAAATCTTTTAAAAAAATTTAAAAAAATTTTTTTCAACTTTTTTTAATCAATTAACAACAACACCCACAAAATTAAATAACAATTTTATTTAAAATAATATACTTTTCATTCGTCTCTCCTTCCTTTCAATAATTATTTCTTACTTTTCTTAACAGTAGTAAATGAATGTCTCGGCTCAGATTCTGAAGCTTTTGATTGTGAAGCAGAAGAATGACGACGTGCAGCTTTTTCAGCAATTTTCTCCTTAACAAAAAGAAAATTATTTTTTAGGATACTTGTAGCCTATACAAGGCCCGTCCCTTTAAGCTCAAACATTAAAAAACTAAAAATTGATGACAAGGCAAAAGCAATTACAGCAGGTATGTCACAGGTTACCCGTAAACAAGTACTCGGTCTTTCGGTAAACTCGCTCCAAATTAAACCCGAACAAAGCTTTTTCTCAACCCGTGACATCCCTGATTTAGAGAACCATTGTGTAAAGTTAAAGTGGATAAGAATCGAATCTTCAAAAAATTTATATTTATGAGTAAGGCAGTAGGTTCTAGGAAACTTTTCGGAAATTTGAAACCGAACGGAAGAACCAAAATGAAAAATACCCGGGTTTTCGGTTCTGAACCGAAATTATAATGTAATTAGCGATTTTCATCTAACACTAATGGTTTTAGGGATAGCCACAAAAACCATTTGTATCCCCATTTATACCCTACCAATAAAGCCCCAAAAACAAACAAAAAACCCAAACCTTTGCATATTTAGCCAACGTCTGATGGTAAATTGCAGATTCTTCACGACGCTTTTGACGGCGCTTGTTTTTGAGAGCAATACGGCGGCGCTTGCGTTGAAGAGTTATTGGAGTCACCAAACGTTGAATTTTTGGCATTTTAACACGTGGCTTCTTTCCTAAAAAAATTTTTTTGAAAATTTTTTCTGGTCAAAAACTTAAAAAAACCTTCTTTTGCCGGAAGTGTACGTCGAATAACATATTTACGAACATCATCTTCTTTGGTTAAATTGAAGAGACGACGAATTTTTGTTGCCCGTTTAGGTCCAAGACGGCGAGGAACAATTTTGTCAGTCAATCCTTCAATCTCGTTATCTCCTGAATTATATAACAAAATTAAGGTTGATTTCGAATGGATTCTTCCTAATGCCAGTACGGGTTCCCTATAACCCATAAAAGCGTAACAAGGCCTCACCTGCCCACCTGGCATCCTACGATGATTTCAACGTATTGTGTTTAGTCGTGTTTAATTTAATGAACAGGGATCTTATTGACTTAGCCAGTGTTTCTCTTGACCAAAGGGTTATCCGCAATTTGCAGTCATTAAATGATGGCAGGTAGTACAGCCCGGGTTTCTATAAGTCTTTCTTAACAATTAGGTATTGAAACCAAAATCAAAGAACAGGGAATAAACGAAAGACGAAAACATAACAGGGAAATCCTCAACCACCAAAAATTCAACATCTAAGGCTTACTCTAAAAAGACTCACCCACATCACTATTAAAATTCCTTTTAAAAAACCCAAACCTTTCCGAACAATAATGCAAGCCAAAGCACTCAAGTTTGCATCAACAATACATCCTCTAACAGACTTTCGTTTGCGTTCACCCTTTCTACGTTGACGATAACAAGATTGTCCTTTAGATAAAAGTAGACGAACACGTCCATTTGTAATAACTCCTTGCTTCATTGGAAATCCTTGTTTGTCATTTCCTCCAGTTATACGAAGAATATAACCCTTTAAAATGACAAAAATAAGGAGTGAGGGGCAACTCAAGGAATTCCAAATCACGGAACAGACAACTCAAGGAATTCCAAATCACGGAACAGACAACCCAAGGAATTCCAAATCACGGAACAGACAACCCAAGGAATTCCAAATCTCGGAACAGACAAGTCAAGGAACGACAAGTCACAAAACAGACAAGTCAAGGAACGACAGGTCATATAAAAGACAAATCAAGGAAGGACCAACTCGTTCCATAGGTTGGCGGTTCCTTGACCTGAATGTTCCTTGGCCTGGATGTTCCTTGTCTTGTCCGTTCCTCGAGTTAGCCTGACACTAAAATAAGAAACCCCTTCCCCACAAAATTAACAAAAGAAAACCTTCCATTCATCACCCAAAGGGTCAGCTTCAACTTCCTGAGCCATACGCTTCTCAAAGAAGATTCGATATTTCTTCTCATCTTCCAACTCAAAAGTTTTTTGTGCGCCAGTTGCTGGATATGCAACGTTTAATTTCATTGTTTAAATCTCTAAAAATTGATTTTATTAAATAAGGTTGTCGGTTCTGGACTGAACCGAACCGAAAAAACGAGGATTTTTCGATTCGGTCCTTCGGTTCGGTTTCGGATATACGAAGAATTTCCAGAACCGACAACCCTCTAAGTGAGTATAAAAATAGGTAATAAGGAACTTTAAAAAACGTATAAAACAAAGGTAAACCGAAAACAAACCAAAAAACAACCCCCAAACAAAAAAAAGTTGACCCAAACTTAATCAAAGAAAATCTAAAAACCACGACATAATGGTACAACGGGCAAAATAAGACAAAATGGTAAAATAAAACAATTTAGAACTCAACGACATAATGGTACAACGGGTAAAATTCGACAAAATGGTCCAACCACTTTTCTCTCACCGTCTCTCCTATACTCTTTTCTCCTATAATTCTCTAACCCTTAGAAAATTAATGTTCTCTAAAAATTAAATATAAAACACAACGCCAAAACCATAATATAGGCAAAATTATAAACCTAAAGCACTCTACTTTTATAAAAATCAATAAAACAAAGTTAGGGCTTAAACTAACGCTGTAAACTTAAACTTTTTTCAGGTTATCTACTTAAAAATTTAATATTTTTGTCAAGAGTTGAATGAATATACATGACTTTTCAATGGCCATGGCAATATGATTTTCCACCTTTTTTTACGTAAATTTTCTTTAAAATTTCTTAAAAATTTTTTTTCCACAGATTACAACCAAATTTACAAACAAGAGATAAACAATTAAAATCTTGGGGTAGACTTGTACTTGATTATTGTCAATTTAATAAAATTTATTCTGCCAATTTTGAAGAAATTTCAAATTCTGAACTTTTTAATAATCGACGACTTAATAGTTTGTTTTTCTTTTTTCTTAAATAATTATAGGGAAAAAGCTGAGGGTTCGAACACTCACCCAGCCCAATTCTTAATAATTTAAATTTTTTGGTTTAGTGGGATAATGTTAGTTTCACCCCTAGAAAGGGTTGAGGGTTCGAACCCCACTAGCTGTAAACTATTTTTTAGTCACTTTAAATTCCTTTAAAGACTTAGGAATATTTCTAAACCTTTTAACCACTAAAAAATATTTTTTAAAGTCTTTTAAACCTCTAAAACCTCCCCTTATTTTTTAAAAGGACGTTTAGACGATTTTGGCATTCGCGCAGTTTTTGATCATTTAGAAAATTTAAAACATATAGAGTGGTGTGATAAACAAAAGACTCGTTGTAATATTTATTGGAGACGTCCAGAAGAGTGGGCAATACAAATTTACGAGTGGGCAAATTCTATTGGTTTATTAAACAGTGTTGTTACTTTGTTTGAATTGACACAAGGGGAAGACGCTATTCAAGAATGTAAAAAAATTTTTTTCTTTTTTTAAATAAATTTTTATTAATCAAAAACAATTAGGAAAAATCAGATTTGAAAAACTGAATTTTTTAACCAATTATTACTAAATTTTAAATTTTTGGTGTAGTGGGAAAATGTTGTGTTTACCCATTAGGAGGGTTAAGGGTTCGAACCCCACCAATGGTAAACAATTTTTCTTTCTTTTTAAATTCATTTAAATTATTTTAAAAATATTTCTAGATCTTTTAAACATTAAAACAATTTTCTTTTTAGCCTTCTACGGTTTGGAAAAAGACATTTTGTTAAAAGGTTTGACCCATTTGGAGAAACAAGGAAAAGCAGTTTTAATTGATATTGACGGAGAGAAAGGAGGAGTTAAATTTATATAGAAAAGATGGAGGAAGAAAAAAAGAACGAAGAAGCTGCTATTTTAGTGGATGATTTTAATAATAAAAAAGGTTTTTTATTATCCTAAATTTTTGGTGTAGTGGGATAGCGTTAGGTTTGCCCGGTGGGAATGTTGAGGGTTCGAACCCCATCAGCGGCAAAATTTTTTTTCTTTCTTAAATTCATTCAAAAAATTCCTAAAAAAGTTTCTTTTTTCTTTAAAGGTTCTCATTTTTTAAAATATAACAATTTTGTTGAAGAAGGCGATACAGTTATTATTTATGTTAATCCTGGTACTAAATATTCTATTGTTGTCAAAAGAGGCAAAACTATACACATGAAATATGGTGCTTTAAGACATGAATTTTTAATTGGAAAACGGTTAGAAAATTTTTAAAAAAAATTTTTCATTTCTCCCAACCCAATTTCTACAAAATTTAAATTTTTGGTGTAGTGGGAAAATGTTAGGTTCACCTAGTGGAAGGGTTGAGGGTTCGAACCCCACTGTCTGTAAAAATTTTTTTTATTCATTTTTAATTTTTTTTCTTCTAGTTATGGAACACCAATATCTGCCACAGCCGGTTATGTTTACATTTTACGCCCTTCCCCGCATTTATGGACTCAAACATGTCCAAAACGTACCCAAATTTTGTATACTCCAGATATTGGAACAATAATTTTACTTTTGGATATTAAACCTGGTTCTATTGTTTGTGAGACGGGGACAGGTTTTTTTTCAATTTAAAAATCAATAAAAATATTTTAAAAAAAAGGAAGTGGATCTCTAACTCATGCTTTAGCAACAACTGTTGGACCGAAAGGAAAAGTTTATTCTTATGATATTGAAGCTGAACGTGTTGAGGCCGTTAAAGCAGAAATTGAGGTTTTTCTTTAGAAAATATTTTTTTTGGTAGAATACCCTCAGAGTTAACCTTACTTTTTTGGAGAAGGTCAGCAACCCTTAACAAGTGGGCCGACACCTCAAATAATCGTTCAAGGGAAGTCGATAGTTCGGACCTTTCAGGGAAACACCCTTACAAACCTTTGCCCTTCTCAATTAATTTAAGTTACCAATAGGTTGCCACAACAGTTACTCCAAATACACGTCCGGGAGTCGAGGTTCAGCCCCTCCTAGAAACATTAAATTTTGGCCCTAAACGGTAACCACTATTTTCCATTCCTTCCTTGTAAACCTCCACAAATCTCCCCTTATCTATAATTAAAAAATTTTTCTAAAGACTCACGGACTCTCCTCCATCGTTTCCATAAATTGCCACAACAGTTGCTCCAACAATGGTTTCCCTCCTGAAATTTCTAATAAATGTGATGCTTTATTTCTTGATTTACCTTCTCCATGGTTAGCTGTACAGGCTTGTGTTGATGCTTTAAATCCAAATAAATTTGGCCGTCTAGTTTCTTTTTCTCCATGTATTGAACAAGTACAACAAATGGTGCAAACATTGGAGAAGAATGGATTTATTAGTATAGAAACTATTGAAATTGTTCCAAGGAAATTAAAGGTTTGTTTAGAAGTTGGAAATAAGAGGTTCAGGTTTTAACTGGGATTAACCTACGACCATTGGAGTTACGTTTTTGGGTTATCGGGGAGGGACGAACCTCTTCTCTCCAGAAACCCACCTTTGATATAAGGCCGAGGACCGCAGTCTTCGGACTCTTGACTCCTCTATAAGCAAGACCCCATTCTTCGGGTTCTCAACTCTTCTATAAGCAAAAACCATGGTCCTCGGGCTCTCCTATAAGCAGGAATACCAGTCCTCGGGCTCTTGACTCCTTTACGAATCTAGAACTTCAGTCTTCGAGTTCTTGAGGATCAAGAACTCCATGGATTGATCAATGAGGTTTTTATTCATGACCTTCCCCATGTCAAAACGCCTTTAGAAACCTTTAATATTTAGGGGTTCCTTAAAAATTGGACAATTTGTCCCTCTTTTCCTCAAAAATCAAGAATTTTCTTTATACAGGTTATTAATGTCGAATCTGAAACTTTGGCTGAAACAGCATTACTTGGATCCAATTTACCTATAAACTATAAAGGAATTGAGGATAATACTTTGAATAAACACCAAAAAAATCGAAGAAATAATAAAAGAAAACGTCCAAAATGGGCTGAAGGAAATGAGGAAGTCGAAAAAGACGGAGGAGAAGGAGAAAATTCAAAAAAAGAAATTATATTAGATACAATTCCATTTCCAACAAATCAACCTACACATACAGGATATTTAACTTCTGCTACTTTATTACCTAAACAACAACGTGCTTAGAGAAAAGTTGGGGTTGTTGTTGTTCCCCTTCCCTTGATTTTTTTTATTTTTTGTAGTCGCTTTTTTGCCCATTCACCAACCCAAATGTGTTCAGTTGTAGCCAGTGCTGGGTATTTGCCATTTGTTGGCTCCGGCTCCGGGCTCCGGGGTTTCAAAATCTTGGCTCCGGCTCCGGGCTCCGGCCTTTTAAAATCTTGGCTCCGGCTCCAGCTCCGGCTCCGGAGCCGGCGATTTTCGGAGCCGCTCCATGTTGGCTCCGGGCTCCGGGTGGAAAATCAATGAATTATTTTTTATTAGGGAATTTGGGTAGATAAAGGGGAATATCGTGTGATATCAGAGGAATAAGAGGGTTATCAATAAATTAAGCGGGATTTGGGTGGATTATCGTGTGATTTAAGTGGATTAAGGGCTATATCGGGGGGATTAAGGAGATTTGGATCCGAAAATCTTCATTTTTTGCGCCGCAGGCGAAAATTTTGAGAATTTTGAAGATCCTTAAGCCACAAATCATCATTTTTTGCGCCGCAGGCGAAAATTTTGAGAATTTTGGAAGATCCTTAAGCCAAAAATCATCATTTTTTGCGCCGCAGGCAAAAATTTTGAGAATTTTGGAAGATCCTTAAGCCAAAAATCATCATTTTTTGCGCCGCAGGCAAAAATTTTGAAAAATTTGGAAAATCCTTAAGCCAAAAATCTTCCTTTTTTGCGCCGCAGGCGAAAATTTTGAAAAATTTGACTCACAGGAGACGAAAATTAATCAATTTAAAAAATTTATCCAGCTTTATTTATTTAAAAAAAGCCTATTATAATTTATTTTTTAAAGAAAAAAATTAATTCATCATTTTTTGTAATATTCTTCGAACCTATAACTGGATTAAACTCGGAGCATAACTCACTATCCACTCAACCACAACTACATTACACAGTAAAGGAAAATAAATCTTTTTTACCCGTCTCAATTTTCTCTTCCTTTTCTTTTTCGCCTACCATCTTTGCTTACTTCTTTTTCTCTAACCCATCTTTAGGGGTGTATAGCCGGAGCCGTGGGGAATTGAAAAACCTTGGCTCCGGCTCCGGCTCCGGGCACTTCAAATTCTTGGCTCCGGCTCCAGCTCCGGCTCCGGGGTTTTCAAAATCTTAGCTCCGGCTCCGGCTCCGCCGGAGCCGGCTCCGGAGCCGGGCTCCGGAGCTAACTCCCGGAGCCATACCCAGCACTGGTTGTAGCCCCTTCCATTTTATTTAGTTACACATTTGTTTTTGCCACCACATTTTACAATAAAATTTTAGTTGCTGATTTTCTCTTCAAAAGAAAATTTCAAATTACCCCATCCTTATTCAAAAATTAAGTGAGAACAAATCCCTTCATACCATAAAAATTTCAAGCCCAAATTTTTGTAAAAAATCCTAATTATCTACTCTTAATCTGAACGCGCTCTGGGTTCTCAAAAACAAGAATAGCTACACTTTTAAAAATAATAACTTTTAAAATATAACTAACAAAAAAATTAAGAGCGAGGTAAGTGACTTAAAAGGCCTCAAAAATTTTTTACAAAAATAAAATTCTTTTTAAAAATATAATTATACTTTTGACGCCAAAATTTCATCTCAACTCTTTTCTTTTGTCACAATTTGAGTAACACTTGCTTTGGTTTCAGTCTGTGTTCCAAAGCCCTGTACAATTTGTAAGCCAGCTTTTCTAGCCATCCTTCCAGCTATTGAACGAGGACCAAATTCATAAATTTGAAAACTGGCAAGTGTCGTGTGTCCCAAGGCGTGTAAAGCGTGATGAGTTGTTTGAGAAGCTTCTGGGCCATAACTTAAAAAAATTTTTTGGAAAAATTTTTAAAAAATTAAAAAAAACCGTAAATTAACAGTTTGAACAGTTTCATCAGAAATACATCTAATTAGAGTTTTGGACGCTTCTTCCAGTGAAATCCAAATTGTTGAGAATGCTAATAAAAATTTAAAAAAATTTGAAAAAAATTAAAGGAAATTTCTAGGAATGTCAAAATGTCAACTCCCTCGAATTTTTAAAAAATGTCAGATGTCAACTAGTGACCGGCGCGGGACGGGATTCCGCGCGGGATTTTATGGGATCCCGTCCCGTAATCCCGCACTTATTTCGATTTGCGGGATTTATCCCGCGGGTTCCCGTCCCGAAAAGTTTTTAAAAATTTGCCGGTCTCTAATGTCAACTATTCCAAAAATTCTTTCAAATTATCCAAAAAAACCTGTAATTCCTCCCCCAACAACAGTAGCAGTTGACCTAAAAGCCCTTCCTCCAGTCCCATCTCCACTTAAACCATCTGCCACTTTTTGGCCTATAGCAACGCCAACATCTCCAATTTTATCGAGAACAAAACGAGTAACTTTGGCAACAACTTTACTTCCTTTATGTAAAATTACAACCCCATTTTGAATTAATGGATGAATATTTGTTGGTTGGTCTGTTGGTTCCTTAAATTGAAGAAAAATTTGTTCGTAAAATATTGGGCCTAAAGAATAACAGCAGAAATGCGAAGAGGAAATCGAAATATTTTTAGTTTTGCACGAACCTTTCGGATCGGGTTTCGAATTTTTCGTGTCGGGTTTCGAAATAATTTCGTGTATGATTTCGGATTTGAAATAGAATTTCGTGTTGAGTTTCGGATTTCGTATTGGATTTCGGATTTCGTTTCGGGTTTCGAATAGGATTTCGTGTTGGGTTTCGATTTCGAATCGCGTCGGGTTTCGCATTTCGTTTCGAAAAAAGACCAGAATTTCGTGATCGAGTGACCCATCCCACCCCTAATACCAGTATAAAAACAAAAAACAAACCAAGTTAGCTCTATATTCTTCTCCTTTATCAGCCATATACTTTCCAGTTTTTGTAGCAGCACTAGTAGCCCCAACAGCTAGCTTATCCCCCACATCAATCAAAAATTTTGCAATTCTTTCAGAGGTTCGTTGTTTTTGTTCTTGAGACATATTTGAAATCACTTGGCTTTCTTTAATTGTTGAAAATTGGTTTAGGGCATAAACAAATTCTTTTTCAAGTTGAGGAGCAATGTCGCGAGGTAAAATGATTCCAACAAACATTTGTGGGTGTTCTCTTGTTGGGTTTGGAAGGACATAAATTCCTTTAAATTTTAAATTTAATGAAAAAAATATTTAACGGAAAAACAAAGTCGTCCTAGGAAGATTCTTAATCAGTTCTAGGTATGGCTTTGGGAGCTAGCTTTGGTCGAAGCTTCCCCGCCCAAATTCAAAAAATTCCCCAACCACCTTAAAGCAAATTCCCCAGCTTATGGTTGGAGCCAGAGTTGGTTTCAAAAAACATTCCGAGTCTGGGAGCTATATCGAGTCCCGCTCAACAGCCCCATAAAATGCCCAATACCCTATAATTGTTCACAAATCCCCGCCCAAATTCATACTACCTAACCTCCTCAAAGTTAAATTCCCCGCCATCCTAGGAAAGGGTACAGGACTACCATAAAATCCAAAATTTATTTTCCCCTTACAAACCCTCAAAAAAATAAAAATAATTAAAAAATAAAATACCCAATTCATTTTTCATAACAGTAGTAAGTTGAGGTCCACGTAAAGGATATACCCATGTTCCAACTTGAATAAATGCTGGGGGTAAAGGAGCATTTTTTGAACAAGTTTCGTCTTGTTTGAGTTCAACAAATATGGCGAGTGAAGATGGAGGGGTTGGAGCGTTTGTCTTGTCACCCTAGAAAAACATTTAGATACAGTAAATATTCTAATAAACGCCCATCTTTAATAGGAACTTATGCACTGTTAGAAGCTCACTCAATGAGTCTGTGGGTCTCGGTGATATGGTTCTCGATGTGGGTCTCGGTGACTCATTTCCTCAATGGGTCTCGGTGAGTGGGCTTCTAATGGGGCAAGGGTTTCTATTGGAGATGCAGCCTTTATTAGAACATTTATGGTAATTAAACCTATTAAAAAAAGTAAAATTTTCAGTTCAGGAGAGCGCAGTCCTCAAAATAACATCCCCCTCTTTTTTCGTTAAACCCCAAGGACTCTCTTCCAGAACCAAAAATATTTTCCAATTTAGACTATAAAACTAAAAAATAACCTCAATAATAACCAATTGTACACCATCAGGCAACCAGTAATACAATTGAGCATTTGGTTCAAATGTTGTATTCAAATTCCCTCTAATTTCTGAAATTTTTTCTTTTGAGATCTCTTCGTTTTTTGTATTTTTTATTTCTTCAATTCGATTTTCAACCAATTCTTTAACTCTTGATAGGCCTTGGGAGGTTTTTGACAAGTTCTCTTTCTTCTCAGAATTTGACCCTTTTTCCAGTTCAAATGCTTGTTGAGACAAATCCAAGCCTTTCTGGTACATTAGCAAGGCGTTTTGCTGTAAAAATAAAGTAAATAGTAAGGGTATATCCCAGAGTCGGAGTTCAAGGGGAGGAGACTAAATAGGGGTTATGTGCTGCCTACAGCCACCTCAATGGATACGCCCTCGGTAATATATCTTGGATTTCCCACAAAAACGGACCCAACCAATTTTTAGAACTACGGAAGCTTCACCCAAACTATCAGAAAAAAACCCGGTAATTCTTCGGTTGTCGCCCCCCCCCCCCCGTTTATATGTTTCCCTGACCATTTTGAGCTTTTTTTCTTGACATATGATTTATTATATATCATTCGAAAGAGCTATCCGAGCTGGATAGATTGATACGAAGATCGGTTAGATTTGGCGATTTTGAACAAAATTATGAGGCTAAATCCTCTGAGGACATGCTTTTTGTGATGTTGAAAGGGATTAAAACAATTGCTCATAACTATGTTTATTTAAGTCGGATTTTGATAAATTTAGTACCGTTCGACTCATTTAAGTCGGATTTTGATAAATTTAGTACCGTTCGACTCAGCTCGAAGAGCTCTTTCGAATGTATATAAAAATCCATAGAAATTTCATAGGAAATGAAAAAAAATAAAACATAAAAAAGGGGGGGGGGCGACAACCGAAGAATTACCAAAAACCCACTCAAAAATCTCAAGGCCCCATCTTATAGTAAAATAAGTCAATAAACAACCTTATCATTAACTTCATCGTAGCACAATCCTTGTTCGATAAGTGCATAAGCTTCCGAGAATAAACACTCAACAGTATCAGAATTTGACATTTTTCAAATAAATTAGAATAAAATTAACTGAAAAAATAAAAAGATTTTTTTAACAAAATTATAACTAAAAATAAACCAGTCAGTCCGTTAGCGACTTGAAAAAACTTTAACTTAAACAACTTGACCGACGAGTGAGTTAACCAACCTATGACTCACTCATCCACGCTCCAAATTAAATTTTAGCAATTTCAAAATCATCCACCGCCTCCTTCTTTCCTCTCAATTTTTAAAGAACCTCCTCCCACACCGACAAAATGCCCATGTACTCAAATGTAACAAATAAAAAAAGGTAAGTAAATGTCAAAAAACATTTTTAAAAAATAAAAACTTTAAAAAACAAAAGAGTATTTTATTAAACTCAAAAAATAAGTAAAAGTATTTGATAATATTTTGTATAGTCAACCGGTATTCTTAGCGATCCTCCTCAAATCTCTTCTCAAAAAAGTCGACAACCAACAATGGCCAGCGTTTCGAAACAATTCGCGATGGGAGAAATTCGGAATAGTCCGTCCCAGCATATTGAACAAGGTAAAAGATCTATAAAATTATTTGTTTTTAAAAATGTAAGGAAATCCCTCCCTTCCCAGATTTTTTTATTAATGTACAAAATGGTCAGTCATTTACTTACTCCAAAAAATCTACATGTGGCGTCATTTTACACGTTAAATGTAAGTTTACATTGGTATTTCGACAGTTTTGAGGAGTGTGGTATTATGACAATTTGGCTTTTTGGAGTTTGGCATTTCGACGGTTTTTCGGAGTAGGGCGTTTTGAATGAATATAAGTGCTTTCTAATTAACCATTAGGTGAGGAAATATGCCTAAACGGTAGACCAATGAATGTCCTTTCTTCCCCGCAAGGACATATATAAAATATAGGTCAAACCGTATTGCTCAGCCATTTACTAATTTTTCTTCATCTCATTCATATTATTCCCACTAATTAAAAATCTAATCCGTTCGGAAACATTAAAGAATAATCTCTAAAAAATACCTCATTGTCAATTCGCGCAGAGCCAATAATTTCCTTCACAGGTCCTAAAGGCTTGGCATTAAGCATCCGCTTCTGGAAGCAGTTGAACTTCTCAATCAATTCCGGGCAATTCAAGTTCTCCTCCGGCTCCCTAAAAATTGATATTTAAATAAGAATTGTTCTTAATTTTATAATACTACCCACCATATAAAAATGCTAGAGGGTAAAAGTTTGGGGTGTGTAACACCCTTTTTTCCATTCTTCCATCTCCTAAAAACTCAAAACGGTCTACACATTGACTAATTTTCCTATACGGGATCGAACCGAACCTCGCGTGAGAATTTGGGTAAGCCGATTTCGTACCCCCCCCCCCTCTTTTTTTTGACCATTTTTTCATTTTTCCTTCCCTTTCTCCCTTATTTTTCATGGGGCAAAGTATTAAAAAGGATTTATGAAATACCCTCACGATTATACCCTTACCAAGTTCCATTTATTTAAAAAATATTTACCAAGATTTTTCACTCTCCGGATGTCCTTCCCATTTCAAAAGATATTCAACTCGGCCATTGGGCAACACACGCTTATTGCAAATTGCCTCAACGACGTATTGCTTCTTTTGCTTTATACTCGGAATTGATCCACCAGATGATGCTGAACTATCTTCACGTTTCAGTCCCATATCGCTCACTTTATTGAAAATGTCCTAAATTAAAAATTTTTATTGTATAACAGTAAGCAGGTTATCGGGTAACTTGATAATTTAAGGAGAGTTGGCTATCACCAAGTTGTAAAGGAGTAAAGATATACAAAGTTGGTAGTTGTGATATTATGATAAAATGATCAAAGATTGTGCCTAAACGCGAATATCGATAGACAAATTTGAAAAATGGAATATAAGGGTCTACATGTGAGCAAGAATTTAATCAAAAACGAGTAGAAAAACGAAAAATAGGAATTCAAGAGAGTCAACCCCAAACACCTAGATCATTTTGATATCGGTGGATTTGAGGGATAAGAGAATATCAAAGATACCTGTTATAGATTAACTACCTTATTTACCAAAAATTTTTACGGGAATAAAGGTCTATTCAAACGAGTTACTTTATTCAAAATTGGTACTACTCTCCTATTAGTAATTATCGATTAGTGAGAGTATACAACAAAGGAGAGACAGTACATACTCGCGCTAATCGGTAAAAAAACTACATACCCTCCATTCTGCATATCGATTAGCGAGAGAGTATACAATAATAGGAGAGACAATGTTCTCATAGTATTGCACTCTCTCGTTAATCGATAAAAAGACTTAGTAGTTACTCTCCACTTAGTAGTTATCGATTAGGAGAGAGTATGCAATATTAGGAGAGACAATGTTCTCGTATTATACCATAATCTCTCGCTAATCGATAAAAACTACATACCCTCCACTTCTGCATTATCGATTGGCGAGAGAGTATGCGATAATAAGAGAGACTGTTCTCGTATTATTGCATAATCTCTCGCTAATCGATAAGACGACATACTCTCCACATCTTAATTATCGATTAATGGCAGAGTATGCAATTATCTCTCCTATACACTCCTAATCGATAATGTACACCCGCTAATCAATAAAGACTAAATACTCTTCACTTCTACTACGTTACTACATACTGTTATAGCGTTACTTAGCCTTTTTTATCGATTAGAAACAGTTTTTATCAATTAGTAAGAAACTTTCGCGTTTCGCATTTTTCGCATATTTCACATTTTTTAGCTCAGTTTCGCATTTCGTATTTAGTTTTTATTTTTAGATTTAGCCCAGCCATGCTAGGTACCCAAAATGTCTAGGTACTTAATAGCATAAAAAGTATTAAGTATGTAGGCATTCGGAGTTGAGTTCGCAATGTATCAAGAACAATTCAGCACATCAAATAAAATATTAATTTAGAGTTTATTTCTCCGCATTAAGATAAAATGAATGCATAGTAATAAGCAGAATTGAATGCCACTGTGGGAACGTCACCGTTTGAGTAAAATAGACCACCAATCAATATTATCGATTTTTCTAATAGAATAGAAAAGGCATGAATTGTGATGTCAAAATGGTAGCCCACCCAAAATAAATAAAGAGAACTACAGGTCAGAGAAAAGAAAATAGTTTTATAAATGTCGCAGAGACATTTCTGCCTGCAGTGAAGAGCAGGCAGACACAAGAAATACACTGCAGGCACGCGTACCCCAGACAATGAAAGAAAACCTTACGTTATATCTACATTTACTACTAATTGACCATTTTTAACCCTGACCATTTTTTACTGAAGGCAAAAGATTAGCGAACCTACATAAACTAGTTATGTAGACATGTTTCCGCACTTGCAGAAAGAATATAAATGAATAAAAATAACCCATCATATGAGAAGTCAAATGCTGTGATTTGAAAAGTTGTCAGTATTGTGAAATGAGAAAAGAATAAAGAAAAATTGTCCAGCTGTGGGGGCTTGGAGCGAAAGATGCAATAACAAAACGTGCGCCACTAAAAATGAAAGTAATTGATAGTTATTGAAGACAAGCAACAAACATAACACGTAATTCCGCAAAGAAATGTGTTGTATTGATAGAAATGATGTAAGCATTCAGGATCAATAAATAGGAATGAGGGTGCCCCCTAATTCTTTTCATGCATTTCTAATTTCTCTATTGGATTACAAAATGGTCAAAGGCAATTAATGGATTAGGCAATTTAATGGCAATTAATGGACTTCAAGGCAATTTAATGGCAATTAATGGACTTCTTCATTCGTTCAACAGAGTTGCCGGCCGACCAATCCATAATTGAAGGGAGAGCGCTCTCCCTATATTCCCCCACTGCGTGCGATTCACCTATTTCTATACTCTGCGGAGTTCACACATGATTGCAAGCATGCGCGACTCTGCTTATACAACTAAACAACGAGGCACTGGGTAACGGGACCAACCGCTTTACTTTATTTTATTTATTATATTTAATTTGTTTCGTAGTTTATTTGATTTATTATCTTATCAACCAGCGTTCGGAGAACCGCTTCGGGTATACCCCCACAACCGAAAATTCATCCCTCTGTAACTTTGGACAAAATGGTCAGAAAACTTTAATATTTTATCCTTTGCTTGATGAGAGCTTTCGATTGATATAACATTTGCCATATTTATTTTCATTTGCGGCTGGAGATTATATATCATCGGCTTCCATTTTAACGGTATAATCGTGCAAGCCCAATTTATTCCCATCCCTCCTCTATTAAAACTCGAGGTATTGTTAAACTCGATGCACTGTTATGTCCATGATTTAAATATTTTTTAATATATTTTGTCCCATTTCTTAATATATTTACATAAATAATTCCCTCATTCCAACTTTCAAATATTTTTTTTATCTTATTCAAATTGTTGCCCTTCATACATTCATTCATTTTCCCTCTGGTTTATAATCTTACTGCCCTTCCTACTCCCTATATATAGTTGTTCCAAATTCCTTTATATTCAGTGTTCTTCGGAGCCTCACTTGACCCTAATTTATAAGATAAAAGAAATAAAAATTATATAAAAGCTTCAATTTATTTGAGAGTTTAGGGTCATTTTATAACTATAAAGTATGTCAAATCCATACATAATAGGCTAAACTTGGACCCATCATGAATCATTATCATGACTTTACTCTCTTTAAATACAAATTCCGGTACCACAAAACTTTTCATACTTTTAATCAGCTCCTAAATATATAGGAATACATATTTTAATTCTTAATGCTATTCTTAAAAAATTATTATGTCAAGGCTTTTGCATAAACTCCGTTAATACACACCTCCCAAATTATTTAATATTAAAACTTTTTAAAGGTGGATCTGAATGAAAGGATTGGAGGATAAACAATTATAAATACAAAAAAGAAATCCGAATTTATGAAGTCGTGAACACAAACTGAATGGATTATCTTCATGATAAAAAACTAATCAAATTAGTTGGTAATTTGATAAATAAAAATGTATATCCTTGTTCTCTTCAGGTTTTGCACCCAAAATTGAGGCATTTCATCAAGAAGACCAAACTAGTGGAGCCTTGCCGCGGCAACGTTGTAGTTCAAAACAAATGAATCAAGATGATCCGTTAATTTAAATTCTTTTTAAATTTTTCAATTAAATGTGACTAATTATATTTTAAATTTAATTATATTTTCATATTGCTTTTTTATTTTTTTAATAAATTATTGTACACCATAAATTATACATTTGTTGCCAAAGGCAGACAAAAGATAAATTTAAAAGCTTTATAGGAATTTAAATTTGAACCTTGAAGTAGTAAGACTGACATGAGAAAGTAGGGGCTAACGAAAGTTAGAAGGAAAACTGCCAGAAGTATCAAGTATGTTCCAGCAGAATACTCCACCCCTGTTAAGATAAGTCAGTCTTTACGTGTTGTTTCATTTTCCACATTGGCTTCTGCTCCGAAGAGAACCCAACATCTCTCTTGTTTGTGATTTATGTTGGAGATAAAGGATCTAACTGGGAAGATACCCCTTTCCCCTTCACAGCCTGCGGAAATTAATAATATAAGATTATAAAAGAGGCAAAAATTAACATTCATTCGCTGAATGAATAAGAATGAAAGGATATCAGGGTTTAAAATAGGAAAGTTTTTGGATCATCCACATCTATAGAAAAATCTCAGAATTCACGAGATTTGGAGTTACCATACCCAAAATTTTTTGCTGCTTTACAAAATGGTATAAGCAGAAATTTTAAACTATCAAGTTACTTTGACGTATAATTGGAAATCTTATAAAATTATAAGACAACACTCTTACAAGATTATAAGAGAGGAATTTTGAACTTTATGGTCCCATTTGCTTCTCCCTATCTCCCATTTTTTAACCCTGGGAAATAAATTGATAAAAAAGATAATAATTGGAGGTACAATAATGAAGCTATGTAAGCCGAGGTAAAACACAGGAACGTAGAAAAAGGACAAAGGAACCAAAACTCCAAAATTTGTGACACTTACCCATAAAAATATCCCATCAGAAAATCCCCAAATAAATTTAAAAAAATTTTAAACCTCATCCGTTTCACAATTAAACTCATCAACCATATCAGTTTCATAATTGGACTCCCCACCATCCGTTTCATAAGTAGACTCCCCATCATCAGTTCCATCAGACTCCACCACCTCAACAATATCAGGCAATTCACCGCCGCTTGAAACCGATCCATCAGAAATTGACATTTTGAATAATTTTTGAATAATTTTCAGAAAATTTTAATTTAAATCTGAAACGAACAAATAAGTTTAGTCTTAACAAGGGCGTATAAAGAGATCGAATTATGAAAAGGAAAATTGAGGATGGCTGATCCCAAGAGGAATTTCTACGTTAGATATTAACCCGTCAAGATCCCCGAGAAAAATTCTAGCAGAAGTGTTTGATTCCAAGGAGGAATTCCCCGTTTGGCTGGATCTGGGATAAAGACGAGTTGACAAAATCACAAAAAAATTCAGTATTGACTCCCACGAATAGTCAAATCGAGTAAAGGCGAGTCCTCCAAATTTCCCCAAAAATATCCCCAAATGGGAAGGAACAAGCCGCTTCCCCCACCTCTGTATACGCCCTGTTAAAAAAGCATAAAATAAAGTGAAAATAAAAATTCAGATATTAAATTGAAAAAGAACAAAATAGCACAATCAAAAAGTAAAAATTTTTTAATCATAATTTTACATATAGAAAAAATTTTTAACACAAAAAAACCTATAAATCATTCAAAACAACTCTAAATAGATTTCAATACAAGTCCTTCCATTCATCCATTATTCCTCCTCCTTGAAACGCTGATTGTAGACAGGAATCAATTTAACAAAACGCTTCCAATCACAAATATAAACTGTCAACACAAAAAGAGAAGCTGAAAAAGTGAATTATTAAAATTACAAATTAAAAAAAATATAAGGGGAGGATGAGTCAGAGAATTATTAAGATGAGTCAGAAATGGCGGGAAGGGCGTTACAAGCGGGGCGACAATGGAGTCTGGAATCAAAAAAATTAAAAAACAAATACGGTTACATAGAGTAGGAAAAAGGCAAAAGTTTGACGCCAAGCAGGTATCGATCCTGCAACCTCACTACAGTTATTGGCAGGTGCCTTACCTAATCACGTAGAAGTTAACACGTTGAGTACTCGCCCAATTTTTTTCTGCCAACAAGGCTAATTGTAAGTGTAAAACCCTGCCAACCAGGCTAAAACCCTATATTTTGCCAACAAGTCTTATTGACAAAACGTAAGCCTTTACCCTTATTGTCAAAATACAACCTCCTTGGGAGAACTCGGGGGAAGCCCCTCTCCTTCCTCCCAAGGACACCAACCCTCTCCCATGCCAAACTTATTAAACTTAGTCATGCTATTTATTCTAATCTTGTCCTAGTACAGATGTCACATGTTGCAAATATGCCTTCTGTTGAAATCCGATAAAATTTTTACAGAACGCACGTGAATTCATGAAAATAACTATTTCGCACTTAAGCAGTAAATAAATTGTAAAAATCATTTCAACAATTTATCCCCAACTTTCGTGCAAGTTTATAGGAAATTCTAGTCGGGAAGGAGAAAAATTTAAAAGAAAACAGACCTCCATAAGCTGCATAAGACGAATAGCTGTAAAAATATAAAATTAATTTTACTCTAAATTAGTCTAAAAATTACAAAGATTTGTTGGTTGCAGCACGTTTCAAGAGAGGCTGCATTTTCACATATGGAAACATCAACGTTTTTGAACGATTAAACATCTTTATCTGTAAAAAATTAAATTAAAACCCGAAGCAAAATGACTAGAAAAGTCAAAAAAATCGAAAAAAGAAAGCCGGGAAAATGCTGAAAAACTGGAAAAACTGGAAGACGGCCGAAAAATGGAGCGTTAATAAGCTGAAGAAAAGAGAGATCAACAAGCGAAGAAATAGTACGCATATTAGAGAAAATTAGAGAAAAATTGCAAGCGAGTATCTCGTTATGTTGAATTTCAAAATGTCAACTTCTTTAGGATTTTTCAAAATATCTAAAAATTGTGAAGGACAAAACGTTCAAAGGGAGAGAATGTTCAGAATAGGCGTTTGCCTTCGGGTTTTTTTAATTTTTTGAAATTTTTTTTTTGAAAATTTTCAGAAATTTCTTCAAAATTTCAGAGATTCTCTAAAAATTTCTATTAATTTCTTCAAATGAAACGGAAACAAAACGACAGCGAATCTTCCTCAACTTCTCAACATCCTCAAGGGAAAACGACAAAAAAGGCAGAGATTGTAGACTTTGATGAAGCTTTTGGACTTCTTGAAGATCCATTGGAGGATATTGTGACGGAAACATTGCAAACTGAGGTTTAATTTTTTATTTTTTCGTGATTAACCGACGATCTCAATTGGTCCTACGGGTTTCCCACAAACTAAAGGTGACCTTGGATTTAGTTTGTGCCTTCTGAGAATCCATTAGTTCTTCAATAAATAGTTACTTATTCAGTTTCCCTGGGCCTTTGCCGAGATTATTCTGATTAGTCAACGATCTCAGTTGTTCTTAGGAGCTTGCCAAGGAGTATCTGAATCGTTCTTTTCACAAAAATAATCTTAAAGGGAGTTATGATTTCCAAGGGTTAGAATACAAGACTGGCTGAAACGGAAGTCCAAACCCGTCGGACAAGAAATTTGTCGTTCTGACTTTCATTGGCGTTGTTAGGAATAAATTTTTACAAACAACCTTTTAACTAAAAATCAATTTCTTTAGGTCCCCCAACCTTCCGATATCCAAATTCAACCACCATTAGAACAACAACCGACATCTGTTAATTCAATTGAAGAGGAAAAATCGGCAAAAAAGGACGACGTAGACAACACTGAAAAATGTGAAGAAATATTAAAGCAATTGATGCCGTCGACAAGTAAACAAAGAAAAAGTTTGGAAGAGGAAGATGATTTGTTGCCTCCTAAAAAGATTAATGAAGAGGATGAATTGGCAAGGCTTAAATTGCAGTATATTTTTTTATTTTTTAAATTATTTTTTAGGGGGCATCCCCTTTTTAGACCTACACCCTGAAGACCTATACTCCCGGAAGAAACCTACTCTTCGTAGGGTAGATTTTCCTTTTGAAGGTGGGAAGGTTCGGAAGGTGGGAAAAGTACCCAGCTTTATGAAGATAATATCTAGTTCTATATTTTTGAACCTAGGATCCAGTATTGTGAGTGTGTACTATAACTCTAGGTGAGTCTCTTTCCCCTTCAATACCACCAAATCCCTCGATATTCTCTTTCAGAAATTGTTTGTCTTCAGGGTCAATAGACACTGAGGATGTAAGTCTTCAGGGTGTAGGTTTCCAAGGAGGACTCGTTTTTCTCTTATTTCTTCTCCTTTTTAGAATCCTTCTCGCCAACTTTACCCAAGAACAGCTTGAACGTTATGAAACGATGAGACGTGCCAGTTTTCCAAAATCGGCGATTCGACGGGTTTCTTTTATTTTTTAATTTTAAATTAAAAATTATTTTAGTTGATTAGCCAATTTGCTGGTGTTTCTGTTGGACAAAATGTGGTTATTGCGATTGCTGGTATGGCGAAGGTGTTCACTGGAGAGTTGATTGAAGAAGGTTGTTTTTATAAATTTTTTGTATTAGTGTTAAGGTTTAGTGGGCTTTTTCTGTTTCCTTGAGTTCCGACGGTCTCAATCGAACCTTTCGACTGGGTCATTGGAAGAGTTCGAACTTTCCAAGGGGTTTTTATGTTCCGCCAGTCTCAATGAACTTTTCCGGTTTGACATTTATTCTTTTTTATGCCTGCCTCTGACCTTCCAACGAAGAAAAAACAAACAGGACATGGTTTTTCGGGTTTCCTTGGAATAGTGGGCTTTTGCTTGTTTATTGGGTTCCGCCAATCTCATCTAACTTTTTTAGTCAAAATAGAATTGGGGATTAGTGGGCCACGTAGATTTTTCTTATTTCTGTTTCCGTGCTCCCAATGAAAAAACAAACGGACACGGGTTTTTGGATATCTTTCTAGTATTCTGAGGAATAATCTGGTAGAGAAACCTTCTCTGGGGAAAAATATCCTTGTCTTGGTCATAGGAATTTTTTCGAATATTAAAAAAATCTTTTTTTCAGCACTAGACATCCAAAAAGCTGAGCGTGAATCCAACAAAGAAGCTTCAACATCATCCTCTAAGCCTTTAACGCCTCGACATTTGCAATTGGCGTTAGACAAGCTTGACAAGCAAGGGAAGTTGTTTCCGGCTAGACCTAGAAGATGTACATTTTTAGAAAGAAGATTCTTTTGAGATGATTTTGATTTTTTTGGAAATTATTGTTTTATAAATTTTTAATTTTTATAAATAAATAAAATTTTAAAGAGGCGTTGTAATAAGTTGAGTAAATTCAAACAGAAATTGTGTATAAGTGGGAATTTTTGGGGGATTTTTTCCTAGTTTGGGTGGGAATTTTTGGGGATGTTCCAAGTTCTCCCAGCATTCTTGATTGGCATATCTTCAGGATAAATTTATTTAAGGTTTCCCAAGCCAAAAATTTTCCGATATTCCAAAGGCTTCGAAAATACCGATTTTCCTCATCTTTTTCGAGTTATCGACAAAATATCAACTAGTTTACACTTTGACATTTACCAAATGAAAATTAACATAACGAATTGCGTTAATTTTCCGTTCAAATTTAGTTGGCGTCACTTTTTTTCTGAAATCTGGATTTTCACAGATTTCTGTTAATCTCCGGAGATTACGCGTTTTTGGTGTTTTTTTGGCAATCCCGGAGAATTGGGGTCCCTGCGAAAAAAAATCTTAAAAATAAGAAAAAGGATTTTTCTAGAGTAAAAAAATATGCTGATTATGAATCCGAGCTCAGATTTTGAAAAAGTCGAATCCCGAACCCGAATTCGGACTTTTGCCCCCGAACAGGATTTTTGACCCCAAACATTGCCGGGCATTGTACAAAATGGCCAGTCTTTCAAAAGAATCTAGAACTCATCGAGCTGAGTCGAATGACACCAAAATCAATGAAATCCGACTGGATTGAACCGAGATACAGACCCCTAAATATTGAAAAACCACAGCGGTGATTTTTTGTAGTAAAAAAAAGTTTATACAAATGATAGCTCATTCGAAAGAGCTTGTCGTGCTGAGTCGAATGATACCAAAATTACAGTGATTGATCAAGTTTAGACAAAGTTATGACATAAATCTCCGACTCTTACAGTACTTCCAAAAGTTTACTTTATGTCATAACTTTGTCGAAACAGGTCCGATCGCGTTGGTTTTGGTGTCATTCGATGCAGCTCGACGAGCTCTTTCGAATGAGCTATCATTTGCATATTCGAAATTCGGGTTCAGGGTTCGAAATTTGGTTCGGGTTTGGGATTCGACTTTTTCAAAATCTGAGCTCGGATTCGTAATCAGCATATTTTTTTACCCTAGAAAAATCCTTTTTCTTATTTTTAAGATTTTTTTCCGCAGGGACCCCAATTCTCCGGGATTGCCTTTTTTTTCATTTTTTCTATTATCTCATCTGTTTTTTATTATTTTATTCGTTTATTCGTTGTCCCCACTGCTGCGCGCGCTTAAAATTGCTAAAAAATAATCTTTAAAATTTTTTAAAAATCTAAATTTTTTTTTAATTGAAGGCCAGTCCCGTCTCCTGTACATGCTCCTTTTGGATGGCTGGCCGGTTAAATTTGTTTTTTCTTCTTTTTTTTTTAAATTGTGTTTGAAATTTTTTATTTATTAGGCGCTGCTTCGACCGTGCTCTACATGGTGGCCGTGGCTGGAATGTGGCAGTGGCCTTTGCTGGATGGCCTCAACCAAACGGTGGGTTTTTTCCTAGTTTATATGAATTTTAAATTTAAAAATGAAATTTTTTTTACTTTTATGTATGTTCTTCATGTGGTGGCCGCTGGAGAATATGCTGATGGTCTTCATGGTGGTGGTCTGGGGGCCTGTTTTTTTTATTAAAAAAAATTTTTTTTTATTTTTTTAAAAAAGTTATGCTTGTGGTGGTGGTTTGGTGGCTCTTCATGCTCTTGGTGGTTGGTGTGCTCTTCATGCTCTTGGTGGATGGTGGCTCTCTTCGTGCTTTTGGTGGCCTGCTCTTGGTGGTTGGTGGAATATGGTTGGGGTGTGGTTTTTTATTAAAAAATTAAAAAAAAATAAAATTTAATAATGGGAGGGGGTGATTTTCAGCCAGGTCCGTTCTACTCCATGCAATGGTGGCGGTCGTCTACATGCCCTTTCTCGTCTACATGCTCTTCGTGATCAAACCTTGGCCCGGTAAATCTTCAAATTTTTAAAATGAAAAATCGCCTGCTTAAAATGCGCGAGCGAACCCCATCCTTTCTTCCTTTTTTTGTCTTTTGTCCTTGTCTTTCTTGTCCTTGTCTTTTTTTTCAATTTTCTTTCAAGAAATTTTTGAAAGTTTTAGCTCAACCAGTGGAATGGATGGCATGGACAAAGCAGAATGTGCTCCAATGGATGGAATCGGTTTTTGGAGGTTTCTAGTTCTTCGGGGGAAGGGGAAATTTTACGGGGAAAACCAGGGGTGGGTAGAGGGGCATTTATTGATTTTCGTTATTAGTCTCTCTACCGTGTTTTTATTGATTTTATTTTTGGCATTCTGTTTATTGTCAATTCATCCCATTTAAATTTTGTACATTTGAGTCTTGCACACATTCATCTTTAGCAACTTTTTTTTCGTTTACCTTGACCCATTTTTTAACTCCGATCGAGATCATTCTTCTTTAATTTTACGCGTATTTCCTTCTTTGCAACAGATTTTGATTGATTTTTAATCTTACGCATTTTTAATTACTTACTTTTTTCAGATTTTAACATTAACCTCTTTTAATTACTAAAATGACTACTCTCCTAATTACCCCAACCTTAAATTCAACTAATCAATTTGCTACCAGTTTTGCCCTTCATTTACTGAAAGCTGATCGATCTTCTAAGAAACAACTCTTTGCTCTGGTTTCGTCTAAAGATGGAACGAAAATTTCAAAATCGTTGGAACCTTATCTGGAGGGAGGTCAACTCAACATTTTGTTTGGCTCTACTAATTCTCAAAAGATTGTTAAGAAAGTTGTCGAGGTTAATGAGGTTTGTGATTTAGGTTTAGTATTGCTCAGGGTCCATAAAATCTTTCGGGATTGGGGTCCGTCACATGAAGTAACGGTTCCAAGTAACGGCCGTCACATGAAGTAAAGGTTTGCCTTAAGTTATAAGATTAAAGACTGTGTGCTTAAGGTTTCGGTGACGGCCCGTTTATCTTCTGTGGTTTCTATGTGAGATAAGGTTTCAGACTGTGTAATCTGGCGATGGCTCGTTTGTCTTCCCTGGTTGTCTCTGGTTAGCCTTATCCCATAAGATTTAAGACAGTGTTACTTCATGTGACGAGATTGACCGTTTATTTTCTCTGGGTTCTCTGTTGGATAAGATTCAAGACTGGGTACTTCAGGGTCCGTGATTGGCCCTCCATTACAAGTCTTATATGGGTTCTCCGTGAGATAGCTTCAGACCGTGTACTTCAACTGATTAGCTTCCCTTGTTTCTTTACTCACCTTAATCTGTCTTAAATATATTTTTTACAGATTCGCGCAGTCTTTGTCATAATAGACGAGAAAAGCAACATTGATGATGTGGAAAGCAACAAGGGCCTAAAATCTCAATCATTCGCCTCAAAGACTCGTTCATTCCTATCATCGTTGTGTTCGCTACTTGACTGTCTTAGGCAAACCAATGCAATTCCTTCACTTGTTGTTCTCTTTCATTCTTTTGGTACTGTGAAGGAGGAGTTTATTCTTCCGCATCTTGGTATTTTTATTATTTTATTTTCGCCATCTTTTTATGTCTTGGGAGAGCCCCATCTCTCTATTCCTCCAATTCGTCCAAATTTATTCTTTGCCTTTTTCAGTGACTTGTGGGAAGACTGTAGGAAAATAGGGTTAATTTAATGTTATTTAAGTTTCTTTTTTGTAAAAAATTTTTTAGCTCGTGTGAAGCCGTTAATTTTAAGGGTTAACAGTAGGGTTGCCGTTTTTGAACCGAGCCACGTTTGAGTCATTTCCGAGTCATCAATTCGAGACCCGGTCGATCTTCCGAATCGATCCGGCCGGCAACCCTAGTTAACATGTTCAGGAACGTTTTTCTTACAATTTTTGGATGTTGGGTGTCTTTTGGTTTAGCTAGGTAATTTTCCAATTCCCCCCGCAACGTTTCTTATGGGTTGAAGATTCAAATCCTTTTGGGTGTTATTATTTTTCTTACATTATTTTTCTATTCAATTTTTAACAAATTTTTTTGCAGATATTTGTCTACCTCTTCATCCAATTGTTCAATGTAAAACAGAAAAATCTGCTCGTTTTTCTTCTCTTCACGCTTTATGTCATGCTTTTGCTGTTAGCTACAAGATGAATATACAAATTGGACTTGTTATGGAGACAACTGAATTAATTTGTAATCCAAATGTATTTTTGGAGTTTGAATGTTTGTCAGGTCTTAAAAGTGAGGAAAAGTCGGAAATAAATTTTTTCGAACTTGGAAGAATTGACGGGGATGAGGAGGTTATTTTTTATTACTTTTTGGCTTATTTTACCCGGTTGACGGTTCCAAAAATTTTTTGGCTTTATATCTTTAGTCTTGTCTTTCTTGTTGTGAGTCATTTGGTACCTCTTTCTAATGCCTAAATTTTCTTTAGGTCGAAATACAGTCCTTTTAACGTTGAAAAACTATAGGAAGACCAAGCTCATTTTTAGGGGTCAAAAATTAAATATAAGAGAAAGGGTAAGGGTTTATTTTGATAAGATGAAGGATTTTTTCGGGACTGTCCACACTGGCTAAAGTATATTCAAGTTTATTTGGAACATTTTAATAAATTTTTTTATTTTTTTTTCAGATTTTTAATTTTACTCGTCTACTTTTATTTTCAAATGTTTCATTGGACGAACAACAAAAACAACAAGCAATTCAATCATTTTCTTCTCTTCAAAATGATTTTTTCAATGAGAATACAAAATGTGTTTGGTCTTCTGAAGAGGAGGTTAATGATGATAAAATTGAAAAAGAAATTTTGGAAAATTGGCCGAGTCATTTAATAATATTTTTTCGAAAGGAGAAAGGTTTAAAAATTTTATAAAAATTAAGGGAGAAAAGGATTCATTTTTTTTAATTTTTAGAGGAAGAAAAACTGCGGGAAGAATGCGGGCCGGCAAATTTGAAGAAGAATATTTGTTCAAATTTGTTTTCTCCTTGGCTTCTTAAACAAGTTTGTAGTGAATTTGGATTAAATTTTGTGGAATTTCCTCAACAAAAAAGTTTTGAAGAAATGAAGATGAATATGGAAGAAGTAAAAAATCGAAAAGAAATTGTAGACTTTTTTGAGAAGAAATTGGAAAATTTAATAATGAAGATGGATGGGTGAAGAGAAACTAAAAGGGAAGACAAAATAAATATTTGGTGGTGGAAAAAACAAAAACAAAAAATATAATCAAAATAAATTTGCTGGTGATGGTTTTACTTTTCTTCTAAATTTTTGTGTTTGGTGATGGGCTTTGTCTTTATTTTTTGCTGAGGTTTTAACAGGTTTATATTTTTTTGTAATTTATTATTTTTTAATATTTTTTAAAATAATATTAGGTAAGCAAAAAATTAAAAAAAAATTAAATTTTTTAAACTAAAAATTCCTCTGGTTTTTTCGTTTCTTCTTCTCATATTTTTTCTCTTTATTTTTCTCTCTTTATTTTTCTCGAGATTTTTACTCATTTATTTTTCTTCTCATTATTAATCATCACACTTCCGGAAAGTTTTTTTTAAATTTTCTTTTGCTCTTTTTGCTTTCCTTAAAGTATTTTCTACTAATATTTAAGAGAGAACAATATTTTCTTTTCTGTCCTATTTTCTTCCTTCCAATATATATTTATAAATTCCTTCGTGTGGTAGTTTCTGCTGCTGGGAGTGAAATGAACGGGAAAAGGACTATTTTCTTACTCTTCTACCAACAACTTGTTGACCGCTTCACTCGTTTCTTTCTTTTTGTCATTTTCTTTGAAAGTTTATAATTGAACTAATTGTTTGTGTGTGTTTGGAATTCTTCATACATATTACTGTTGGGAGAGTTTTGGTTTTCTTTCTGAACGACTTCTGAATTTAAACTTTTTTAAAATTTACTTGAAGGTTTTGCTTTCCCAACAAAGTTTTGCTTTTCAAAAAATCTTTGTTTTTCGTTGTCTTCTTGTTCTTCTTTGTCTTCTAATCAATTTTCTTTTTTTTAATCATTTATTCCTTTAATCATCTATTTTCTTTTATTCATCTATCTTCAAAAAATCATTTTTATATTTTACATTTAAAAAAATTCCAAAAAAAATTTTTCTTCCAACTTCCATTAATAAATGAACAGCAAAAAACAACTGTGTTTGTCCTTGCTTTTTTAAAAATACTTTTACTAGATATTTTTCTACTTGAAAATTTCGCGCGCAAAACTTAAGAAGTTAGCTTCAAAGTAAATAAATTTCTTGTAAAAAAACTAAAAATAATTCGCACTCTGGTTATTTTTTCTTCTTCTTCGTAGGAATAACTTTGTGTGTCGTTTGTCGCTTATAAAACAGAAAAACAGAATCAATATTGAAGGAAGAAAAAATTTGAAGAGATTGGAATATATTGGACGAATGTATTTGTGTGTGTGTGTAGTAGTATGCGAAAATAAATAAATATATTTATAGGCTTAAAAAGAGAAAAATATTTTAGCTTTTTGAGTGTTTTGTGTGTATTTATTTGTGTGTGTGTGAATTTATTTTTTATTTTTGCTACAATTTTTGAAGTGATGGTGAAAAATGAAGAGGGAATGAAGAGATAACAACAGCCTTAGTGTTTTCTAATTGAAAAATCTTGAAAAAAAATTTTTGAAAATTTTTTGAGGTCTTTTAATCCTTGTAATTTTTGAATTTATGCTTTCGGATCAATTCTCTTCACTAAAAAATTTTTTTAATCTTCACAGAAAAACTTTGTAATCTTCTTTAAGTCTTCACAAAATTTTGCTTCTCAGAAAAAATTTTTTTTTGTTTATTTGTTTGTCTAAACTTCAATTTAGCCAATCAATCAGTCACAAAAAATTGTCTATTAGCTGTTTAATCATTTTTTCTTCATTTGCAAAATTTTTCTTCTTGGATTTTGACTTGCCACACTTCATACTCTTAAAAGCATAAGCTTTTTTTATCTGTCAGCCTTTTTTGCTAGGAAAAAAATATAGGCTGTGGGGGAGATAGTGGTGATGTTGGTGGTGTTAGTGTAGCCTTATAACGGCCATGTCGACTTTTATTTTTTTTTATTTTTTGGAAAGCGTGGCTGTTGTGTGTGTGTTCATATTTATTTATTTTTTTCTATTTATTTATGTAAATATTTTTTCTTTTTTTTCTCTATTAAAAAACCTTTTTGTCTCTCTAAAAAATGCTTTTTTCTCTTACAAACCAAAAAAAATTTTTTTTTGTTTGTCTAAACTTCAATTTAGCCAGTCAATCAGCCAGTCACCATTTTTTAAAAAACTGTCTATTAGGTAGCTGTCTAATCATTTTTATTTTTAAAATTTTTGTGTGATTTTATACAAAATAGGGGAAAGCATGCTTCTTCAAAATTGCTCTTATTATAGTTTTAATTATCTGGGATTACAAGAAACCATTATTTTATGAAATCATTAAGGTCTTCAAAAATATTCGTCCTTACAATTAACCCTTTCGTCTCACTAAAAATGCTTTGATCACTCATCTAAAGTCCTTTAGCCTATTTTCCTTTAGCTTAAGTCCCTTTAGTCTCTTCCTTAATAAAAATAGTTTAATCTTTAAGGTCCTAGAATTTATTTTTCTCTTAAAAATTTTTCAAAATATTCTTCATTTTAATTCTTCGTTTTTATTGATATAAATTATCTTTCAAAATATTTTTTTAATTTAAAAATTTTGTTAATATCATTGACCCTTTTTTTTAATGTTGATTCACTCATCTAAAGTCGACTTCTTTTAGCCTATTTTTTCTTCATAAAAATTTTTTTTCTTTCAAAAAAATTTTTTTTCTTCTTAAAAATTTTTTAGGATTTCATTTTTTAAATTCTTTTATCATTCCTTTTAAAAATATATTTAATCTTTTTTTTCTTGTTTTTTTTCTATAAAAAATAAATAATATTTCTTTATGTAATAATCGGAAATTCTACTTCTTCCTCCCTTCTTCATAAATACTTAATAACAACAAATACTACTAGCCACCACCACACTAAACTAATTCACAATTAAAATACTAATCCGCTTATAAATATGTGAGCGAATATGTGTGTGTTTGTGTGTGTGTTTGTGTATTTAAAATATAAATATTTATTATTAGTGTGTTTATACTTCTGCAATAGTATCTCCTCCTGTCTATTGGATATTTAAAAGCATATACTCGCTTATTTTATTTTAATATTTGACATTTTTATCTGAAAAATTAATTTTTTCTGATTTAAAATCTTTTAAGAATATGTAGGTAAAAATTTTGAGTTTTTTTTTCAAATCCTCTTCAATAAGTGTTATCAATAATACGTGGAGAGGGGTTTGAGGGATGAGAAAAGGGCATAGGTGTATGTGTGTGTGTTCTAATTGTAAGCAAAATTTTTTAACGAATTTTTTTGGTTGGTTGGTGTGTTTTTGATTATTTTTTGTGTTTAATTTTTGTGTTAGAGTATTTTTATTATTTACTAAATTGTTTTTTCAAACGTGTAAAAGTGCTCTTTTTGATAGTGTGTTAGTTTTTGGGAGTCTTTTCTCGTAAAAATAAAAAAAAATTTTTTTTCTCGTTTTACACACACCTTAATTAATTATTTATCAGAGCAATTATAGAAAAATTGTTAGCGGAAAAAAACTATATAGCGTTTTAAATATACATATAAGCGTTTAGAAATAATAGTAAAGAAAAATAGTAGTGCTGCTGCTCTTGGGGTTTAAAATCAATTTTGGTTGTAAAAATGAACAAAAATATTTTTTATTTTTCTCGTCCATTTCTCGTATTTATTTTTCATTATTTTTACATTTATTTTTCTTCTTTATTTGTCTTTCAATTAAATTTGTTTGTGAGTATATTTTCATAATTTTTAATTCAATTTTCGTAGGGCTTCTGAAAAATTTTTTTTATTTCCTTGAAAAATCAGCCTATAAATGTCATTTCAAAGTAAAAATCGAGCTGGACCTGGACCAAGGTCTGGGTTTTTCCTGTACCCAGAGTCTAGGTCCAGGCATTTTTTTGACTTTTCTGGGTTTTTCATAGACTACAGGCTCAGGATCCAGTCCAGATCAAGAAATCAAACTTTAGAGTCCAGGAACAACTCCAGGCTTTTAAAAAATCTCGATCTCTAGTTCAAAGCTGTTAAAAATCATCTATATTTTTTTCTTTTATTAATGATTTCTATTAAAAAAAATTTTTTTTTAAGAAAAACACCAAAAGAATGGAAATTTAAAACTTATTTATCCAATTTTTTGTATGCGTGTGGGGCTAGGCTAGTGGCACGCCGCTGCCGCCATATACTACATCAGACTAAATCAATATATTCAACAATTATATTTTATTATTGCGAAAGTGAAGCATAAAGCTTTTTTTTTCCTAGGTTTGGGGTTTTTTTTTAATTTTTTATATAATTTTTTTTATAATTTTTTCAATTGGGATTTGATTTTTTATGTTGGTTGTGTTTTAGATTCTGAAGGGTTTAGGTTAATTTTCTAAAAAAAATTTTTTTGAATTTTTTTTTGGAAGGGGGAGGGTGTCTAATTGTGTCGTAAAAAATTTTTAAGCTCAGTTCTTTAAGTTTTTTGATTAGTAATTTTTAGAAAAATTAAAAAAAAATTTTTTTGAGTTGGAGTTTCATGTTCTTGTGGGTTATGTTGGAGGGTTTTTTTTAATAATTTTTCAAGTGGGGGGTTTGTTTTTTTTAGGTTTGTTGACATGAATTTTTAGATTCTGAAGGGGTTTAGTTTGTCCATTTTCTGAAATAAATTTTTAATTTTTTTTGAGTTGGGTCTTTAAGTTTTTGGATTAGTTATTTAAAAATTTTTTTTAATTTTTTTAGTTGAGTCTTTTAGGTCAGTAGGGTTATGTTGGGGGGATTTTATATTTTTTTTTCAAATTAATTTTTTTACTCTTTCAGATGACTTTGTCACCAATTTTATCAATATTCTTCTTTTCAATCAGTCAATTATCTACATTTATTTTTTGTTCATCATCTTCTCTTCGTTTAATTAGCCATAAAACAAATCCAGGTGTTGCTGCTGTTGTTGCTGCTTCAAAACAAAAAGAAGAAGAAGAATTAATGGATGAATGGGCACCCTATCGAATGGCTTTTTTATTAATTTTGGTGGCGTCGTCAGTAGCTTTGTGGGCTTCTTATAAATTGTTATGGTATTTTTTAACTTTTTTATTTTTGAGAAATTTTGGATTTTCTCCTTTAGAGTTTCATACTCCCTACAATTCGAAAAATTTTTTTTTGAAAATTTTGGGTAACCACTGGTCATGGGAGAAAATCTCGAAACAATTTAATTTATTTGTCGATGCTCCCTCAATTTTAAAGAAAATTTTTTTGAAAAGTTTTGAGTGGCTATTGAGTATGAGCTTGTCCTCTTAATTTATCTCCGCGGAATTCATCCTAAAAATTATAAGATACGGATCAAGGATAGGACACGTTAAGAAAAGAAAAAGTTGGGTTGGATTTCGGATTGGATTCTCAAAATTTTCTTTGAAAGAGTAAACAAATCCTGGTGTTGCTGCTGTTGTTGCTGCTTCAAAACAAAAAGAATGTTGGGTTTTTTAGGTCCGTAGGAAGTCTTATATATTTTTTAGTGAAGTCTTATATATTTTTTAGTCCGTAATTTGTGAAAGGTTTTTTATTTTTTAATTTTATAAGTGTTCCCGTTGGTATAGTTAAGAGGTGTGAATAAAATCTATCGATGTTCCCTCCCCCACTCTAAAGAAATTTTTTTTCAAACGTCTTAAGGGGCTATTGGGTATGTAGAGGTGTGAATAAATGATTTTAAGCTTATGCTCTTCATTAAGATACGGATTTTTTTAGTCCTAAGGGTGTGAAGTCTTATACTAGTTTCTCAAAATTTTTGTTTTGGGGTTTAGGTCTCAGATTTTGGGTAGAAAAAATTGTTTTCATGTCTTTGGTCATTTAAAAATTATTTTTCCAATAAAAATCTTAAAATTAATTCTTTTAAAGTGAACATCCAGATGATAATGAAGAATTACAACAACGTGTAATTGCATACCAACCTTTACGTCAAAATTGTAATCAACTAGTTTTATCGCTTGAAGGAGGTGAAGGAGGAAATGTAGATGATGAACACAAACCTTTCAAAAATTCAATAAAAAATTCTTTATCATTTTCTTCTATATCTTCGTTTGATGAGGAGGATGATTTGACTTGTCTTTTAGTTGGTGATGGAGAAATAACTGGAACAACAAAATTTACAGCAGCACCAACAACAACTACAAGACTTAAAAAAGGTTTATTATCAACTGGTAATATTTAAATGACTAAAAATAATAATATTGAAAAATTGTGAAAGGTTTATTTTTTTAATTTCATAAATGTTCCCGTTGGTATAAAAAACAAAGCTTTGATCTTGAACCTTTAAAAAAAATTTTTTTTTCAGTCTTATTTGGATCTTTTGAGTTTTTTTATTCAGGTTCCTCCTCTTTTCTAACTTTAATATTTTTTTTTCATGGACCAAGAGCTGAAATTTAAGTATCATTTTTCTGGTGTCATTTTTTCAGATAGGGTTTTCCTATTATTTGTCCTTAACTTTTTTTTGTTTCGGGGCTAAAATTAATTAGTTTAAAGTGTCGTTTAAAAAAATTAAGGATCGAGATTACGGCTTTGTTTTTAAATTTCTAATTCCCTTTTAAATATCTAATTTAAATTTTTAATATAATTCTGTTTTTGTTCTCAAAATTGACCCCTTTCTCTTTTTATAAGTAATTAAATAATTATTTTTATATAAATAGGGGTTTTTTCGGTTTTTGTGTGAAATATCCAGAACATAAAATACTGAAAAATTTTTTTGTTTCCGAACCGAAGAGAAAAAGACCCCTATTTTATAAGCTTTTGCGTTCTCTCATCCCTCCTTTACTTTATCTCTCTCATTAAAAAGTTTCTGCGATATTCATATAAATAATTAAAAAATATATATATATATAATTATAAAGCGAAAGCATCTCAATTATTAATATATTATTATTACCATATTTTTTTCTAAAGCCAAGAATTGGAGACACAAAAATTTTTTATAGAATTTTTTTGTGAAATTTTTAAGGAAATAACAAAATATTTTGCCTAGTTTTTGGTCCAGAAAAAAAATTGTCTCTTCAATTCTTGGTTTAATTTCCCCCCTTTCTTCCCTTTTTTCCTTAAATTGTGCCACACGAAGGTTTTGTAATTTTTCGATCTAAAGTGCCTTGCTGATCTCTCAAAAGTTGAAAAGCAAAAACTAAATGAAAATGTTCTCTCTCTTTTTTTTTACTTTTTTATTAAATATATTTGGAGGAATTTCAACAAAAATTTTGTTTCTGTAAATTTTTTCAAGAAAAATAGAAAATTTATATCTAAAAAATTTTATAAATGTTGAAATTCCTTGTACTCTTGCAGGCAAACCTCGCTACTATATAATACGAACACCCCCTCTCTCAAAATTAGATATGTATGTACTTGTTAAATTTTAAGATATATATGTGAGGACTTGCTCATGGATGGGAGGGGTCCGCGGATTTTCAGAATCGATCAGATACGGATATGATGCTCCAAAGATTCTCCAAATATAGCGCGAGGTTTAAATGTATAAAATAGTTGTAGTTATTAGTATGGGAGAGGGTTATTAGTTTTTGGAGAAAATCTTTTTTTTTTTCGAATATTTGGAAGTGAACAGAAAAACTGATGAAACAGATAACCCTCTCCGATATATCAAATAGAAAATTTGTAGAATTATTATATTTTTTTCTTTTTATTTTTTTTTTGTACTTTTCCATAAAAACCAGGCTCGAGAAATTACAAAATAAAAATGAGCACACATCCATCCCCTCATCACCACCAAAAAATATATAACAACAAAAACAACATTAGACCTTCTTCAGCCTTTTAAATTCAAGTTAAAAAAACAAACAAAGAACATCAACCAACAACAACAAGAAAAAAACGATCTTTATATAAAGAATTTAAAAAATATAAAATATTTTTTTTTAAATAATATTTGTTGTTATGAATAAAATTTAAAATGAACTTTAATGGATGATTTTTTTAATAGAGTATTTTAAAATTACTTTTTTAAATATATTTTTTTTTATTTTTTGAGGACTTTTCGTGGCTTTAAAATTCTTCAGACTCTAGTGGAGTCAAAAAAGATTTTTAATTATGGGACTCTAATTGATGATAGGATTATGGGACTCTACTGGTTCTCAAAAAATTTTTAAGGACTCTAATTGATTTAAAGTTGACAGCTTTTTGAGACTCTAGTTGGGTCTCAAAAATTTTTCTTTTAATTTTTTTTAATTTTTTCGATTTTTTAAGTATGTATTTTCGGCGTACTCTTTAACTCTTCTTTTTTAATTAAATTTTCGGTGAAGATTTTTCTTCTAGGTTTGTTTCAAAAAAAAGTTTTTTTTTAATTTTTAACTAAACAAGCAATAATAATAACCCTTTTTAATGCTTTTCTTTTTTTAAGCTGCTTTAATTATTAAATTTATTCAAAAAAATGCTTTTAATTAATTTATTTCTTCAATTTTTTCAAAAATTTAATATTTTTTTGTGAACTAAAAACATGAAGATAAAAAGGAGAACGTTGAAGAAGAAGAAGAAGAAAATTTGGAAAATTTTGTGGTATTTGGCAATAAATAATGTATGATGAAGAAGAGGATAAATCTGGTGTGGTGTATAAATTGTGCAAAAGGACTATGGCATTGTTAGTTTAAAAAAATTTTTTCTTAAATTAAAGAAAAAATAATTTTTTTTGGATTGATTAAACTTGAAATTTCCGCTCTTTCCATGTCTGTAATTTTTGGTTACTCTTTTTTTTTTCTTGATTGGGATTATTTTGTATGATTTTTAGGTTTTTGAAGAATCTCAAATTTTTTTTTCTTGTCCATACTAAATTTTGCAAAAATTTTTTTATTTTTTTTTCTGTAAATGCCTTCGAAAAAAAGTAAATTTATAGCTTAATGTAAGCGAGGAATTTTTAGTTTAATCAATTCAAAAAAAAATTTTTTTTCTATTATTTTTTGCTTCAAAATTTCTTTTAAATATTTTTTCCTCAGTTTTTTTTTTCTAAAAAATATTTTTAACCTTTTCTGAGTTTATTTTCAAAACAAAACTCGTCATATTTTTACTAGAGGCATATTAATATATTTAAATATTTTTTTTCTTTATTTGGCCACCTTTTTATTTTTTTTTCTTTTATTTTTTTTTTCTTCCTCAATTTCCTCTATTTCTTTCATTTTTTTTCAGTTGAGGCTTTTTTTGTCCATTTTTACTTTTATTTTTTACATGCGTGTGGTCTCCTACTTGCTTACTAGTACTTTTTTTACTATTTGTAACAGCTAGTAACCCCCAAGTATAATATTTAGAAATGTTTTGAGTTTGTGTGTGTTTGGGGGGTTTATTTTAAAATTCTGATTTTTGTTTCAAAACAATTCTGATGTTTTACAAACAAATTCTGATTTGTTTCCCCAACTTGTTTTTACAAAATTCTGATTTTTTCCCAAACAATTATGATGTTTTCCAAACAAATTCTGATGTTTTTTTTATCAAACAAATTCTGATGTTTCCAATTTGTTTCCCAAACAATTCTGAATTTGTTTGTAAAAATTCTGGTTTTATTAATTTATTTTTACCTACAAAAACATCATTTAATTTAATTATTTGTTTCTTCTTTACACCCTTTCTTCTAAAATTCTATACCAGTATTTTTTTAAATATCCTTCTCCCCGCTCTCGATATGTACTTTTTGCTTCATCTATTTTTTAGATATATCTACTTACCTAGCTAGTTTTTTTAACTCAAAAATATTTATAAAAGAGTTGTGAGTGTATGTTTACACTTTTTTGACACTATTTGGGTGGTCTTTTTTGTTTTTGAGAGGGAAAAAAATATTTTTTCCCTCTCTATTATTTAAAAAACTTCTTTTTTTGTGTGTGAATATATGGTATTAATAGAGTAATTTTTTTGTTAAAAAAATAATTTTTTTGAATGTTTGTTTAATTGAAAAAAATTTTTTTTGTGACGAGCTTTTTGCTGCTACCTTTTCTTTTAAACTACTAAATTTTAATTTGTTTTGAAAAAATTAGAAACTTTGTTTTACCTGTTGTGTTTTACAAGTTTGTTTTGTTGTTTTTGTTTTTATTTAATTCTGATTTGTTTGTGATTCTTCTGGTGTGTTTTTCTTTGATGTTTTTATAAAATTCTGATTTATAATTATTTTTAAGATGTTTGTTCTGATTTTTAAAAATGTTTGGGTGTTTTTCTTGTTTTATGTTTAATGTTGTTTGTTAATTTCAAAATGTTTTGTTGTGAGATGTTCTGATTTTGTTTGTTTTAATGTTTAATTTTTGTTGCCTAATTTTTCTTATTTGTTCTGGTTTCTTTTAGTTTTACAAATGTTTTGTTTGACAGATGTTCTGGTTTGTTTTAATGTTTTGCTTGATTTCTTTTGTTTATCAGAACATCTATTTATCAGAATATCTACGCACATAACATCTATTCTGATTTTAAATATCATTTAGTAATAATGTTTTTTTTGTTTGATGTTTTTAGACATTTAGAACAAATGGATGTTTATTTTTAGTAACTCTCAAAAGTTTGTTTTTCTTGTTTTTATTGGCAGAGCATTTTGTGCCATGGTGTTTTTATTACTTAATTCATTATTAGTTGAGGATTATTTTTGTTTTTGCAAAGTTTTTGCCAAATAATAAATTAAATATTTTTTACTATCTTTTGAATTTATTCTTCAAGAAATTTATTTATTTTTTTTAAAATTTTTATTTCTAAAACCAGAAAGTTTTTTGTTTTTATTTAATTCTGATTTGTTTGTATGTAGTTCTCTATGTTTTTCTGCGATGTTTTCATTTAATTCTGATTTGTTTGTGTTTTTTCTACTGTGTTTTTCTTTGATGTTTTTATAAAATTCTGATTTATAATTATTTTTAGTCTGTTTGTTCTGATTTTTA